AGTCATCTTTATATTGACAAAGGGCATGTAGAATTAAAGACTGAATTTTGCTGGGAGTCTTGCCTCAATAGGTCCATTTCCTACATATCCATATGCTTAGTGACAAGTGCAACAAAACTGCTGAGTCATTTAATAAACCCTTGAAGCAGATCAGGAATTTTAAAATTTTAAGAGCTAACTTCATTCTTTGTTTAAAAAACGAAGCACACACACAAACTACATAAATGTTTCCAAAACTACAGTGGTCCAAGACACAGTCTGCTCTGGATTGGTTCCTATGACTTAGGAGAACACTTGTGGGATATTTTTAAGTCTGCAGCATTCTAGAATGAGAGTTATATATTTCTGGAAAACAGCTATTGCCAGGTTTTCCAAAAGAGGTATAACCAAGCTTATAGCCCTTGAAGTTTCTAAGACACCCTTCTATTTAATGATATTTTTGTGCTTAGAAAAATTAGTTCATGTCATTTTTAGCTTATTTTTAAAACAAAATTGTTTGGAATGTTGATATGGAAGGGTACAGCTTGCTCAGGAAGGATAGACAGGGAAAAAAGGAAGGAGGTGTTGCCTTATATATTAAAAATGTACACACTTAGACTGAGGTGGAGATGGACATAGGAGACGGAAATGTTGAGAGTCTCTGGGTTAGACTAAAAAGGGTAAAAAACAAGGGTGATTTCATGCTAGGAGTCTACTACAGGCCATCTACCCAAGTGGAAGAGGTGAATGAGGCTTTTTTTTTTAAACTACTAACAAAATCATCCAAAGCCCAAGATTTGGTGGTGATGGGGGGGACTTTAACTATCTAGATATATGTTGGGAAAAATAACACAGCAGGGTACAGACTATCCAATAAGTTCTTGGACTGCATTGGTCACACTTTTTATTTCAGAATGTTGAAAAAGCTACCGGGAGGAAGCTGTTCTAGATTTGATTTTAACAAATAGGGAGGAACTGGTTGAGAATTTGAAAGGCGAAGCCAGCTTAGGTGAAAGTGATCATGAAATCATACAGTTCACAATTCTAAGGAAGAGTAGAAGGGAGAACAGCAAAATAGAGACAATGGATTTCAGGAAGGCAGATTTTGGTAAGCTCAGAGAGCTGAGTAAGGTCCCATGGGAGGCAAGACTGAGGGGAAAAACAACCGAGGAGATTTGGCAGTTTTTCAAAGGGACGTTGTTAAGGGCCCAAAAGCAACCTATTCTGATGCATAGAAAATATGGCAAAAGACCGCCTTGTCTTAACCAGGAGATCTTGCATGGTCTAAAAATAAAAAAGGAGTACTATAAAAAATGGAAACTAGGACAAACTACAAAGGATGAATATAGGCAAACAACACAGGAATGCAGGAGCAAGATTAGAAAGGCAAAGGCACAAAATGAGGAATAAAGGGAAACAAGAAGATTTTTTTATAAATAAATTAGAAGCAAAAGGAAGACTAAGGACAGGGTAGCCCCACTGTTCAGTGAGAAGTCAGAAACAGGAACAGAAAACTTGGAAATGGCAGAGATGCTTAATGACTTCTTTGTTTCGGTCTTCACTGAGAAGTCTGATGAAGGAATGCCTAGCATAGTGAATATTAGTGGGAAATGATATGTTTAGAAGATAAAATAAAAAAAGAACAAGTTAAAAATCACTCAGAAAAGTTAGATGCCTGCAAGTCACCAGGGCCTGATGAAATGCACCCTAGAATACTCGAGGAGCTGATAGAGGAGGTATCTGAGCCTCTAGCTATTATCTTTGGAAAGTTATGGGAGACAGGAGAGATTCCAGAAGACTGGAAAAGGGCAAATATAGTGCCCCTCTATAAAAAGGGAAATAAGAACAACCCAGGAAACTACAGACCAGTCAGTTTAACTTTTGTGCCAGGGAAGATAATGGAGCATGTAATTAAGGAAATCATCTGCAAACACTTGGAAGGTGACAAGGTGATAGGGAACAGCCAACATGGATTTGTAAAGAACAAATCATGTCAAAACAATCTGATAGCTTTCTTTGATAGGATAATGAGTCTTGTGGATAAGAGAGAAGTGGTAGATGTGGTATACCTAGACTTTAGTAAGGTGTTTGATATGGTCTCGCATGATATTCTTATCAATAAACTAAGCAAATATAGCTTAGATGGGGCTACTATAAGGTGGGTGCATAACTGGCTGGATAACCGTACTCAGAGAGTAGGTATTAATGGTTCTCAATCCTGCTGGAAAGGTATAACAAGTGGGGTTCTGCAACTGTCTGTTTTGGGACCGACTCTCTTCAATATGTTCATCAACTATTTAGATACTGGCATTGAAAGTACGCTTATTAAGTTTGCAGATGATACCAAGCTGGGAGAGGTTACAACTGCTTTGGAGGATAAGACCATAATTCAAAATGATCTGGACAAATTGGAGAAATGGTCTGAGGTAAACAGGATGAAGTTTAATAAAGACAAATGCAAAGTGCTTCACTTAGGAAGGAACAATCAGTTTCACACATACAGAATAGGAAGCGACGGTCTAGGAAGGAGTATGGCAGAAAGGGACCTAGAGGTTATAGTGGACCACAAGCTGAATATGAGTCAGCAGTGTGATGCTCTTGCAAAAAAAGCAAACATGATTCTAGGATGCATTAACAGGTGTGTTGTGAGCAAGACATGAGAAGTCATTCTTCTACTCTACTCTACACTGGTTAGGCCTCAGTTGGAGTATTGTGTCCAGTTCTGGGCACCACATTTCAAGAAAGATGTGGAGAAATTGGAGAGAGTCCAGAGAAGAGCAACAAGAATGATTAAGGGTCTAGAGGAACATGACCTATGAAGGGAGGCTGAAAGAATTCGATTTGTTTAATTTAGAAAAGAGAAGACTGATGGGAGGACATAAATAGACAGCTGTTTTCAGATATCTAAAAGGATGTCATAAGGAGGAGGGAGAAAAATTGTTCATCTTTATCTCTTAGGATAAAACAAGAAGCAATGGGCTTAAACTGAAGCAAGGGAGGTTTAGGTTGGACGTTAGGAAAAAGTTCTTAACTGTCAGGGTGGTTAAACACTGGAATAAATTGCCCAGGGAGGTTGTAGAATCTCCATCTGTGGAGAAATTTAAGAGTAGGTTAGATAAATTGCTATCAGGGATGGTCTAAACAGTACTGGGTCCTGCCATGAGGGCCGGGGACTGGACTAGATGACCTCTCGAGGTCCCTTCCAGTCCTAGTATTCTATTATTCTAATTTTACTTGCAATTCTGTTAGTTTCCAGTACGGCCTATTAATATTAGCATTGTAGACAGTTAAATACAAAATACTTAAGTCCCGAAGGATACAACGTATAACTTCTGCTTACAAACCTACTCATCTTAAATGAGCATGTGTCAATAACAACCACCACCACCACCAACAAAATTCAAATGATCCAGGTGCTCAGCTCTCCCAAACAATACATACAGATTAATTTATAGCTAAACATTATGTACAAAAAAATTCCCTCTTTCTATGTAACTATACTGTCTGCTTAGCTCCTGATTTTCAGCTTCTATTCTATGGATTTCCATTTTAAGTGAGACAGGCAGACTTCTGTAATTTACTGTTATATTGCCTCTGTCCTTAGCTTTGTATCAACCAGCTGAAAAATAACACTGTAATATGCATGCCACACATTTTCAGTTAATTTGAAACAATGCAGTACAGTATTTTAAACAAACCAAATTCTCTTATTCTATGATAATTATTTAGCTCTTCTTTGTTTACACTATCTATAAAAAAGAACTGACTAGTAATTTATTCTCTTATTTAACTAGTTTTTTGTTTTAAACCTGTATTAAAATGGGAAATAACTTTTATGCCTTTCCTCATTATATTAGTAAGAACTATGCTAAATTGACAGATACCGTTAAAAGCTGACTGATTTTCAGTAATATACCTACTTTTTACACTGGGATTTTTTTTAAAAGGCAGAAACCGCTGCTGCTTCTTTATGCTTGTTTAGCACCTCAGCATTTGTGGACAGTAACAACAAAAATTGTGCATGATGGAACAAAATGCTAATTTCCACATTCTGGTAATAGAAAATCATGTTCATATTATAGTATGACAAATGCAAGAATTTATTTATATTCCTCAACACAAAGACAATGTTCTAAAAGGGTTACATCTGACATGATCAAATTCTATTAATTAAATATTAATTGGAGTCCCATGGCAACAGAAATGTTTGATCTCTTACAGAACAAGCTCCACTAGAAATATCTGTTTCAGAGACAAAAAGCCAGTGTTTCCTCCAAGATTAAGTGAATCATCCTTTTAACATTTTAGCACTTTGTTTTTCAAAACAGTGCCTTTTATGCTCATGGCTTGCTACAATAAACAGCAAAAACAGTCTATATAAAATCTTGCACAGAATCATTTTAGAAAAAAGTCCTTGTGAAACAAACATTTGCTTTGAATTGGGAGCAGAGCACTTTCAGTGTTAGATAATCATGGGGAGACAGTCCCATCTTCCACTTCTATTATCTGGAATCCAGCCAGCATTTGTATCTAGCACTAGCACCAAATTCTCTCTGAGAAGGAAAAGGATGACTGACAATTATATTTCCTTCAATGTAACATCTGATTCTATGATCAAGAAACCATTTTGCAAAGGGCCAGACTAGCTACCAACCTCCATTTTCTCAAATAAAAAAAAAGTTAAATTCCATAATATTGAATAAAAACATACATTATGAATTATTACAAAAATATAACTAGTAGTTGCAAAAATTAATATAGGCCATTAAAAACCCAATCAAGTATATTATGCTGAGTCTGGAAGCAAGACAAAACTAATAACTACTGTAAGCAAAGGGTGAAACTATTCCATGGGCAAAATATTTTGGGGGCACTGAACCTAATAAATCAGCATTGTCAGAGGATACCAATCTGATATACTGATTTAAAAAAAATGAACAAAAACATGGTATCTTCCATTATGATATTCTGATTTCAAACAGGAAGTTGAAAATTTTCATTATTAAACATATAATTCTTACCATCTTCATTCAGGAACAGTTTGTTGAATCTTAATCCGCTAGGCTCTTTACCAACGTATCTGTGCACATACTCTGTGCCTAGATCATTAACAGCAACAGCATATTTCAAAGGCTTTACACAGGACTGAAGACAAAAGGGGACTTTGGTATCTCCAACAGAATGCCTAACAAAGAAACAGATACAATTTAATATTTTCCTTTTTTGACTACTATGTCAAGATTTACTGCACTAAATCTTCAGATTATTATTGAATGTTTTTGTACTACCAATATTGTTAAATTGTTTTAAAAACAGAAATCTGTACTCAATTCAATATGTTTTATTTTTCAATGTGTGTAAAGGCAACAGTGAAGTCAAACTCTAGTAATCACCATATAAATAAGAAAACAGAAATAGTGAGCTGGTGACGGCTACATCTATACTACAGCAGGAA